TAAAATGTGTATATATAACGCCAGTCTGCACTTTTTTCTTAAATGCATTTTTTACAATAGATGACAATTCAAGAAGGTTGGTGGTGGTCGATCTCTGCTTAACAAGACCATGCTGACACGGTGATATTAGCCATGAACAGAAATGTTGCAAATGTTTAGTGACAATGCGTTCAAATGCTTTAGGAATTGCCGACAATTTAAAATACCTCTATAATTCTGGGAATCCGCCTTCGCACCCTTTTTGTCAAATGACAAAAGAGTCTTTTCAGATAGTAGGAAAAGTGATAATGAAATAGACAAATTAAAAAGTTTAAGAATCGGGTTTCATATGGTTGACGCACAAAACTTAAGCACACACCCAGGGAGTTCATCTGGACCAGGAGAATAAGTGGGCGTTGTTGTCGCTAAATCTCTTAAGAGAGAACTTTCCGTAATAACAGGGGCAAAAATACAATTTCCCCTTTTTAAGGGATGACAGCAGTTAAAATTTGAACAAGCGGCCCAACTATAAGTAGTTTGGAAAAACTCAACAAATAAATCAGCAATTTAAGAATCCGTCGATGCCTCCATTGAGTTTAAACGTACCGATGAAGGCTTACGCTTGTCATTAGCAAAGTTATAAAACTGCTTCGGATTGAAAATTCAAATTTACATCGATTTAAATACATAGAATAGCAATGACTGTTGAGACCATTAAAATCCGATCGAGCCACCACATTTTTCGAAAAATCAGATGGCTTACCCGATTTTTTATACTTTTTATAAATATTTGATTTAAGGTTTTTTTTTAAGTCTTTGAAGCGCATTGGTAAACCAAGGAGGCCTGTTTAGCTTCGAAGGAAGCCTGTCAGGAACGCATTCATTAAAAAAAGTATTTAACACTACATAGAACAGTTCAGTGGCACTTTCAATATCCATACAATTGTACAAGTCTGTCCAATTACATTGAGAAATCATATCGTTAAGTTGAAACATCTCATTTTAGTGGGAGAAACTAAAGGAGAGAGGGTGTCAACGCATGGGGGGCAGATTGTCAATTCCATTGTTGGATGATATCGGTCTTCAGGTACAACAAGAGCTTCAATTCTAGATACCGTGACTTCAGACGGGTCTGAAACAAACACAAGATCTAATTTTCTAGTCAATGAATTTCGCATAAAGCATAGTTGCTGTAACGATAATTCTAAAAGGCGATCCACAAAATCATGGACGGATAAAGATATAGCGACAAAATATCTTCAGTAAATGCATAAAGCTTGGGTATCTTCATATTTAGTCCCCTAACATTTTGATAAGCCAAAAATAAACTTTTTAGTTTTTTGGGGCAGTGGAAAGCCTGTTATTTGTTCTCGGTTTATTGGGAAAAAATTCTTTTGTTACCAAATCATTATTAAGACAAAATCATTCAGAAAGTAGTACATTAAACACATCAGGCGGAGCCAATATTTTAAAAGACGATATACTACGAGCGTGTGAAGACCTTTTTCATAGGCTGGGATAAAACTCAGTCCGGCCAGGGTCCTCTACAGTTAAATTTGTAGAAAAATATAGGAACGAAACTGGACGGGGAGTTGCCGCGGGGATTTGCGGGAAAAGAGGCCAGAGTATCCGCGTTGCACCGAGTAAGCGGCTCTAGCGCAACACGGCACCCGAAAGGTATAGTGGAGGGCGGGGCTGCTCCCCCTGGATGTGCGACTCACAAGCTACTGGGGTAGGGATCCGAGAGGAAAATGGCCGGAGGCGACCCTTCCCTGTGCTCCCTGTGGTCGATCGAGTGGTCGTTTGCACTGAGTAATCGTCTCTGGCGCAACACGATTCCCGACCGGCACAGATCACTGCACGTGGCTCGCGACTACCTAAACCGTATTTGGGGCGGCGTTCCCAGGAGAGGGTGGCCAGAGGCGACCCTTTCCTATGCTCCTTGCGGGCGATCGGGTGGTCGTTTGCACCGAGCAAGCTTCTCTAATGCAACACGATTCCCGACCGGCACAAATCACTGCACGTGGTTTCCCGAAAATGCACAAATTCACGCGGACACATACTTCTTCATTCTCTTTTATCTTTATTATTCGCTAGTTTCACAGGTTATTTTCCTAGTCCCCTACTCGCACTCAGTCTGATCTCTATTGTCTGTGTCCCACTTACTCCTTGGATCCGGCGTGCCGACGCTCGTGCCGCTGTGCCACTCCGGGTTGAAGTCCGCTCCTAGGTCTGGTCGCCTTTTCTGCCATTCGGGAATGAGAGCGAGCTTCCGCCCTTGCGGCCGCATGTGTGCTCGGTTTGCCGGGTTTTTTTCGTTTCTCAACACAGTTTCTTATCGATCCTTCGCCTATCGCTATCGGCACTATTAGCTGTTGGCCCTCGGTTGACCAATACTGGGTGGTTTTCCTGCCCTGGTGCGCGCGATATTTAAATCTGATAAGCTTAGCTTCTAGTTTGAACTTAAATAAATTGCCTTCGTGGCGTAACGACTTATGGCTAACTTATGCTTATAACTTATAAATAAATGACCGTCGTGCCGTAATATCCAATTGTATGCCTTCGTGGCGGAAAGAATAAAAGTGGTGAAATGTGGAGGGTGTGTTTCACGCATCCTCACAAGCGTATGAACATCGAAATTGTTCAACCGCAATATTCTCGGATGGTAATTTTTCACGTATTAATTCCAAAACATCCTCAGATGTGGTATCTGGGGTGTATCTAGAAACAAATAATTGCTTCCTTTGTGGAACAACTCACAGTTTCTTACGTCCCCCAGCAGACTAAGATGAGAGCCAGAAACGCTACCTTCTGTACCGGTCGGCACCGAATTGTTTCACTTAGCCAGCACTGAAGACTTTACCACCAGACTTCCAGAAACAGTGACTCCACCGGATTTAGCTGTTTCCATAGCCAACTGTGCGTCTTACTTACCCCTGTGTCAACAGAAACTGCTGCAGCTGCCAAGTTCGGATTTGGGGTGGATACCATGATCGTATTAACTGCCGCTAAGCTGGCTTTTTTGCGTTTGGGAGACTCAGTTAGTAATTTGTTATTATTAAATTGGGCACAAACGGAATTGAACCCCTCATTGAGCTGATTAACAGCACCTGAGAGATTCAATAGGCTGTCTCGAGTCTGCTTCAAAAAGCCGCTCATCTCAACTACCATTTCCATGCAGGAACCACATGAGACAAGAATTCTTTGATTCTGACTCTGCCACATTTAACGTACATCATCGATTCGCAGAGCCAGCAGAAAAAAAGGGTCTTTAGTTGAAGACGGAAGAGTACAATTTTTCTTAGAACAGACAAGAGCCACTTAAGGAAAATGAAATAAAACAAAATAAAATATAAAAAATATTTCAGGTAAATTGGATCAAATTCCAAAACCACAAAACACGAAAAAAATAAGAGCGTGAGATCGCGTATTAAAATAAATGTAAGAGAGCACGAGAGAATAAATCTTCTATCGACTGAGCGTGGCTTGTGGGACACTGACATCTTCACGCAAGAACACTTACAACGTAAAGCAAGCAAGAGAGAGAGAGAGAAAATAAGAGAATAGCACACCAATAGATAGTGTTATTACAGTTGTAATATAGAGCGGGGGAGAGAGAGGGAATAAAAGAGTTTTAGCAAGTTTAGTGAGTGTAAAATTACACTAGCAAAGCATTAAGATTAAACAAATCGAGTAGAAATGTTAAAATAACTATAACCACATACCCGTTTACTGGGAGATCTAGTCAAAAACACTAACACAACTGTTAGACTAAGCTTTGTTAATAAACAACACAAGAACTCGCAAAAAATCACTGAAATAACACAAAAACTCAGAGCACAAGAGTAAACACATCTGTTCACAAGAGACTCCAAATCGATTTTTTTTTCTGATCCGTGTGGTCGAAAATTTTGGGCAGCGCGAGAATACAACGAGCTTTAATGGGACTCCTTCCAGACAAAGCTGAATAAAGGAACGAGAGCGGGACAACTATATTTGTGATCTCAATATATGGTTATGTGGGCGGTAGACAGATTTAGGCGTTATGGGCGTTAGAGTGGGCGTGTCAAACTTTTTTTGGGTCAATCGATAGATATTGATGAGAACAATACATTTCAGTTAAAATTTTTATTCTAGCATCAAAACTATAGGAGCCACAGTTTTGGGCGGTATGCGGGCGTTAGAGTGGGCGTGGTACCCTGCTGAAAAAAACTTGCGCTGCGCAAGAAGCTCAGAAATCTTCATGCCAAACCCCAATAGCCTAGCTCTTATACTTTCCGAGATCTCAGCGTTCATACGGACAGACGGACATTGCTTGATCGACTCGGCTGTTTATATACTGTTTGGGGTCGGAAACCCTTCCTTATACCTGTAACGTACTTTCCGACGAATTTAGTATACCCTTTTACTCTACGAGTAACGGGTATAATAACTATTATCTAGTTTAAATAGGCTTTAATTGCTCATAAGAGCTGATGTATATCTGTCATGAAAGTAGCCATGTCGATTATACTGAACTGCAAAACGTAATTTTTTAAAAGATGCAGGCAGACGTATGTATGTAAGCATTTCTGCACACTTCGCTTTTGATCGCGGTTGAAGTTAACACTACTCAAGAGTCGGTACTTAGTTGATATCTCAATAAATTCCCTAGATGTCTTTCCACAGATATGTATTTAAGGTAGCATCATATCTTAATTCAATTTAAAGATATTGACATCAGAATAATAATGAGAATGGGTTACGAAAAATAAAGAGTTGCACTGTTTAAATGTTTTGACGAACTAATAATCCAAGAATCCGTTCCAAAATTTGTATGGGTCATACCAAAGATAATATAGACTACAAGATGAGTAACCACCATAAACGGAAAGTACGGCTCAATTTTCTTTAATTAATTGTGTTAGTGTATAATTTCGTGTGATTTGCGGCAAAAAGGGCTCAATCTCGCATTTGACTGAATGGGTCCGGGGACTAGTCTAGGGGTCTAGTTGCTTAACTGTAGAACTTGTAGGACCTAGTTCAACTCCGAATGGAAGAAACTTTTTTTTATGCACAATCGGGTTTTTTAAACAATCAATTGAAACATGGGTTGAACAAATCATCGTCATTGCTAATTCATTTTCGGACATCTTGAGGGAATATCAAATTTGAGTTATTATAGAGTATTTATGATAGAGTATGGTAGATGTGGGCGAAAAAGCAAAACAAAAGCAAAACATTGTCGTATGTATTTAATGTTGAATTAAAGTCGAATTGATCAGAGCGGACAAAGGCCATTAAATTAAACTAAGTCCAATTCGCTGTCACGGCCAGATGAGCCTGTTTGTTTTGTCGTGTCGCTTCTGCGCATTCAAGAAGTCTCAGAGTCGTATGAATTGTAAACGTCCTCTTAAAACTGCACGCGCCAATAGTGTGCTGCCATTAAACTCAACGCCACGAACAGGAAAAAGGACAAGATTATGTTGTCCCGCGCCACATCCATCTCGATAGTCCACAAATACTCGGTAAGCTTCGTTGTGCATCCTGGACAATTGTGCTCCCCGCAACAGGAGCCACTGGCCCAGGTGCGGTTGGTCGAGCACTTCTGGTAGTCGGCCGCGCTGGTCCTACCGCAACATCCGAGCTCCACCTCGATCTTACCCAGACAATCTTTAATCCACATCTGGCTGACCATTAACTGGACGAAGAATTCGAACCTGCGACGATACATGAAGCGCGTCACCGCGATGGTAAATGTGTACAGCAACACCACGCAGCCAACCAACATGTAGCCAGCGAACTTAAAGACGGTCGGTTGCCGGGTCATTCGAATTCCCAGGATTGCGTTCAGAACGTAGGAAACGATTGTCATAAGGCGCACCCAGAAGAGCCACTTGCGCATGGCCACTGGGTAGACGTGCAGACCAGGAAACATTACCGTCTTTACATAGAGGTGGCCGAACACGTCTAGAAGGATGATCAGCCCCACCACCACCAGGACCACGTTAATCTGCAGCACACAGTTTTGCGATACGAGGCACCAGCGGAACGGATTAGCCATCTCTTTGATAAGGCCTCCAGTGGATAAACGCGATTCACAGAAAAGCTGGAGTTTTCTCTTAAAATGGAAGCAATGAGCCCAGCTGTCGTTTTGAAGTTTCCCTGCGGCCCTGCCGGATATCGTTGACATTATTCTCTCGCCACATAGGCTACAAGTGGGTATTATTACCGTGCAGCGCAACTGAGTTTGTCAATGAAGTTCAGAATATGGAGTGTGTTGGGCATAGTGCAACCAATTTTTACATTTTATTACACCCTTGCAGAGGGTATTATAATTTTGGTAGGAAACGTTTCCGATAATGTATATATATTCTTGATCAGGATCACTAGGAAAGTCGTTGTAGCCATGTCCGTTTGTCCGTCTGTTTTAATACCGTTTGAAACCTCAGTTTAAAATATAGAGATCTGAAACACCCACAGTCCTCCTAAAATATGTGTAAATTAATTTTATTCATTGTCGTTTATTTGAAAAAATATAATTTTTATTTTTTTAATTGAATTCCCTTGGTGGTTGACCTGAATTCACAAACTCACTAATACATCAAAACACTTTTACTTTTTATTATTAGGTATGACTTACGCGACTTCAATCCGAAATAGACTGACTTCTTAATTCTAAAATCTTATCCAACGAATCTCGTCCAGAAGCTTTACCTTCTTAAGCTTCTAGACCTTTAAATTTTGTTTAAAATAAATGCTTATGCTGAAACTGTCGCATCTCATTGTGAAATGAAATTATGCTGACCGATGCAATTTGATTGAAAATCGAAACGCAATATGATCTGAACTTAAAACGCAATACTTTAGGCTTTGAACGTAAGAGTTTGGGCTTCGAACAGAAGCTTGTGTTTACTAAACGATTGCTTTATTTATCTTAGCAGGACGGTCAAGCGCGGCCCTCGAAGTTAATGGAAAATTAAAAACAAAGGCAATGACAATGTTACAAAATTTCTTCGTTAATAGGTTTTCCAAGTTATGGCCGTTGTTTTTTGGTTACAAATTTATTTGTACACTTAATAATAGGTAAAGAAATTAAATATATAATGATTAAAATTAATAACATGACGGATAAAGATATTTTGGTATTATTAATAATTATAAGTGGATCTAAAATGTTTATATTATGAGAGAGTTCCGAGGTATTTAATAACATATAATCGGATATTTCATAATTTTTAAGTGGTTCGTAGGTATATACTTAAGAATTACCCTTGGAAAGGGTATTTTGATTTCAGTCAGAAGTTTGCAACGCAGTGAAGGAGACGCTTCCGACCCCATAAAGTTTGTATATTCTTGATCAGCATCACTAGACGAGTCGATCTAGCCATGTTCGTCTGTCCGACCGTTTCTACGCGAACTAGTATCTCAGTTTTAAAGCTATCGGGTTGAAACTTTCCCAAAAGTCTTATTCCTTTTGCAGGTAGTATATAAGTCGGAACCAGCCGGATCGGACAACCATATCTTATAGCTCCCATAGGAATAATCGAAATCAAATTTAAATTATATCTTTGGTGCTTTTCAACACATAATCTCATACGCTTGGAAAGAACATTTTTTAATTAGTTCTGAATTTCGAATTTAAAATTTAAAAATAAATTATAGCTTCGGTGATTTTTGACATAATATCTTATGCTATTGTGAATAAAATTTTGTGTATTTTAAAGAATTTCGAATTTAATTAACACAAATCGGACGACATTAAGATATAGCTGTCAAAGAAACGGTCAGAGAAATAATGAAATAATTATTTTTAAAAAAATTTTGATTTCGATCGTATTTTATTTTTCTCTGGTTAGAATATTTTAACTTTTCAGAATTACGAAATTAATTTAACACAAAAATCTGACGACTGTAATATTTTGCTGAATGGGGTGGTGTTAGGACACGAATGTCATGGATACAGATGTTCAACTTATAAGGTAGGCTACCTAGATATAACCGTTATTTCTATTTTAGAGTACAGAAATAACCACAACAAGGTTGCCACGAGGCTAGATGACAGGTAATAATGCAGTTATTACGCAATCCCAAAGTTAGGTAATCAACTTGGCTTTCCAATTTACATACTAATTGTCCCTAAAATCGGGCATTCCCCGCCCCTTAATATTGACTCGTAATCCTAATAACCGGATTAGTCTGTGAAAACCACTTGCCAAGTGGCAATGTTTTTTTTTTTTTTTTATATTCATTTATTCTCTACAATTATATACAAGTAAAAGTGAGTTCAAGAACAGGAGTAGGGGGCCGTGGTTGCGCGGTATCACCGCAAGGTGTTGCTTCGCGCAATGGTAGCCACCTAGGCTTTAGCTTCTCTCCTCTCGTTGTCGGTGCGACGCAGCGTTCGCAGTACGCACGCTGCGTAGGCTGCCGTCGCTTCCCAATTCGCCTCCTTCAGCAGCATGAGGGGCACAAAAGTTTCTGGCCGAATTCTTGTCCCGGTGGTCTCCATGAGTATCTGGCGGTCATAGCCAAAGCGGCGACATTCAAAAAGGACATGCTGAGCGTCCTCGACAATGCCACTGCCGCACTCTGGGCAACCGTCCTCCGTGTCGTGCCCGAAGCGCTTAAGGAAGCTTCGGAAGCAGCCGTGTCCACTCAGCGCCTCCAGTCTGGCTGCCAATTTGTTCGCTGCTACATCTGCCGAGTCCAGCTCAGATACAGCCAATCCCTCCAGTGCGCTGGCGAAGGTCTGTGACGGTAGGCTTTTCTTGGCCCGGTCATCGGCTGGCTTTGGCACGGTGGACCGCCAACTGTCAGCAGGATGGCCTCATGGTCGCTGGCCGTGAACACCTCGCCTATCCTCCAGCGTGTGCTACGGGATAACGAGCTGCTCGCGAACGATAGGTCTATGATTGAACCGGCCCCAGCTCTGTTGAAGGTGTGCTGGGAGCCCTCGTTCAACAGGACGATGTCCAGTGACGCAATTGCTTCAAGGATGGTGCGCCCCCTGGCGTTGGTATAGAGGGAGCGCCATTCCTCGGCCCAGGCGTTAAAGTCGCCTCCGATCACCACGTTGCTCCTTCCTCTCAGGTCGCTGATCAGCTCGTCCAGGATCCTGCTAAAGGACGTCAGTGATAGACTGGGGGCCAGGTAGCAGCTGTAGATCCATGTGCCACCTACGTTCGCTCGGACAAATCCCTCTACTGCTCTCGTGTCCCGCATTGGTGGAACACTCACACCGCAGAGCCACAGTGCCGCTTTGCCTGTGCGATCCGTGACCCAATCGCTGCTGCTTTCCACTCTGTAGGGCTCACTGAGTATCGCCACCTCAGAACCCAGCTCGCGCACCGTCTGCTTCAGGAGGTGCTGCGCGGCCCTACAATGGTTCAGATTTAGCTGAATCAATTGCATGACGGCCGAGCTCTCCCTGTCCCGCTGGTTGTGGCTGGGCAGAGTCTGTTTCCTGCCTGGTGCCTGGTCTCCTGTCTTCCTGCCGCAGAGCAGAATAAGCATGAAGGCTCCTTGCTGCACTTGGCTGCCTTGTGCCCTTTTTCACCACATCTTATGCAGCAATCGCTCCTGTCCACTAGGCTCTTGCAGTTAACTGCAATATGCCCGGATTCCAAGCATTTAAAACATCTTGGGGGGCCTGTTCTTTCCCGGATCCTGCAGATGGTCCATCCAATCCGCACCTCGCCACGATGGAGGACGGCTTTCCCCAGGGAGTAGGGCAAACTGATCACAGCTAACTGCGACTTCGCGTAGCCTCGACGCAGACTCCGAACTCTGATGCGCTCCGCGTCGATACCATACTGGCTCGCAATCGCAGCGCAGATTTCCTGCTCCGTCGCGATTGAGTCGATGTCTCTTATCTCCAGAACGAGCAGTTTGGTCTCGTCCGACATGGCTCGCACTGACGCTGCGTCGCCTAACACCCTCGCAATGCTCTCCTTCATGGCTTCTGCACTTTCTGCGCTGCCTTTGGCCACCTCGAGCAGTAGGTTGCCGTTAATGGTGCGGCGTACCTTGGATACACAGCTTCCCAAGTCCGACAGCTGTTTATCTTCCCTTCGAGTCACCATGGCTAACACCTCGCTGTACGATTTCCCGCTCGAATGGACAACGACGGCGTCGGGTCTGGCGCGACGCGTGGCCCTCGGCTTTTTCTTGACCACCTCCCACTCAGCGACCGAAATTGCGGGGCTCACAGTCTTACTGGCGCCAGCGTGCGTCCTGGGAGCTTTGGCACTTTTCTGCTGCGTTGGGCGCGTGGATGGTGGGGCCACTTGAGCCGCGGATCCTCCAGCCACAGTCGGCTGGCTTATCCTTCGCCAAGGCTCCGTTTGCGCTGCAGAATCTCTCCTCCACACAGGCGTTGTCTGCTGTTCTTTGTCGGCGCTCTGCAGGCTTCGAGAGCATTTCGCGCACACAATTGCAGCATCTTGCCCATTCACCCTGATACTTTCGTCCTTGCCGCCCTCTCTGTTCGCCTCTAGGATGTTCGTGTGAAGCGCCTTCATGCGCACGAACGTCTCCCTCGTGGCGACAGTTATGTGGCGCGCCGTCTTGCCCATCATCTTGGTGGATACCTCCTGCAGAAGCTTCCCCAGCTCCAAGAGATCCTCCAGGCAGGTTGCCTCGTGGGAGGCCTTGCTCCTTTTGGACGGCGTTGTCCTCTGCGAGTTAGCCTGGCTCGCAGGATCACACGTCCTCTTAGGAGTTTCCTTAGCTTCCTCGGTGTCTACGATCAGCTCATCGGCGAGCTTGCTGCCCTTCTTAAATGCCGCTGCAACTCCGTCGGTCCCATCTTCCCTCGGCTGGCGGGGAGATCTTACCACCACTGGTCTGCCCGCGAAAGGGTTTTCAGCCTCCTCCATCTCGGGCTACCCGGTTTGTTCGAGGGAGGCTCCCGCGCTGGCCACAGATTTCCCCTAGGCTTACGATGGGGGATATACCGCCCCTTTTCGGTCCCCAGTGCCCCTTTTGATACACCGCCGCGGCGGAGGGGTTGGAATTTATCCCGATCCTTGGCCTTCTGCCTTTTGCCGTCTCTGAATCCCGGTGCCAGAATTTGGAGAATTTCGATATACAAAATTCAAAAACTTAGGCTGGGCCCGCGTTTATGGCGCTTTCCAACACTATGTGCTGTTAGACGCGGGGATCCACGCTGTTAAGCTCCTACCTCGACGTTGTTCAACACTGTAAACAGCTGATTTTGTTGTTTGCAGTGATGAGGGAAAAAACGCGCGGGTGGCAGC